GAGGAAGAGGGGAGAGGGGAAGAGGGAGAAGGGGAGAGGGGAAGAGGGAAGAGGGGATAGGGGAGAGGGGCGAGAGGGGAGAGGGGAGAGGGGAGAGGCAGAGGGCAGAGGGCAGAGGGCAGAGGGCAGAGGGGCGAGGGGCGAGGGGCGAGGGGCGAGGGGCGAGGGGCGAGGGGCGAGGGGCGAGGGGCGAGGGGCGAGGGGCGAGGGGCGAGGGGCGAGGGGCAGGGACGAGGGGCGAGGGGCGAGGGGTAGGGATCAAGGCCAACTCGTGCTTGAGCATATTTGACTCTATTTAGCTTGTAAATCTTCGCTGCAGCTTCATGGTGAGACTGGTCGCCACATACCTCTGTCGGGGAGGGACTTGAATTTTTTTTGCACGTAGCCGCGTGATCGCGAAGGGTGGGGCATGGGCGTTGCGTTCCACCATGGAGTTGTTGTGACAATCCTTCCAGCGCTTATGGCACGGGAAAGCGCGCGACCCATTCCGCAACTCGTGAAAGCATGCCAGACGGAGGAGGACTATATATATATATATATATATATATGTGGACAAGCATAAACGTCGCAACTGGCACGTTGTGCGTTTTTATATGGGAAGCACGACGAGGGCCGCGATATGTGGAAAACAGCAATGCGCCCATGTGCGTTCGGGACGGCAGAGCAGGAGCGCTCAATGAAAGGTGTGCCCCTTAGAGCGTCGAAGAGCAGGCCCCGTTTCGTCGATGGACGACCGGTCCGCGCCGCCAGAACCTCGAGTAGTTCCTCAATCGTTAGCCTCGAAGGCTTCCGGCGGCAGAGTTTTCATCTGAGTAATGGAAACAGCTGCAGGGGGCGCTGGTGGCAGAGAACATGTACTGTTTGGACCAGTGCCCACCGGTTTGTTGGAACAAGCGGCCCGAGAGAGCAGACGAGCATATGTGCCGGGAATTGCCGGGATTTAGTCCGCTCCTCGCGCGCGACACGTCCAGCTATCGTTCCACCAACTTTGTTTTATGACCTGCACCAGCGCACCGCTCCACGCTGCTCTGCACATGGGTGGCCTGGTTTGGAAGAATGATTAGGGCGAAGGCGCCTGTGACAGGGTAGACATGAGAGGGGGTGGGAGTGGCCTCGTTCATTCCTGTTTATTTCACAAATGTTGTCACCTTGGTGCGCTTGTCGACTTGTAGCATGCTGGCCGCCTGACTGCGAGCATATTATATAGTTGCAGCATCCGCAGCCACGAAGGACCTCAGTGTTCTCAATTACCTGAACGGAGTTTTCCCGTGCGATGTCTACTTGCACCAGACGTCGGACTCGGAGCCCGGACACATCGACGAGAAGCCGGAAGACATGGACGTGCGCGGGCCTCGGTCGCGCGTTGAGGTGTCTCCGGAGTCTTGGGACTTGGCACTGGGAGTTGCGGAGCCGATGCTCCCGCAGGACCCTTGAAGCCGTTGGGGACCGCCAGGTCGTCCTCACGGGCAGTCTGCAAGTTGGCGTTGCCCGCAGTTTGCTGAATTCAAGGGGCATGGGCTCAGCCCATCGCAGCCTGCCCCGGCCCAGGCGCTGTCCTAGTGTTGAACGGTGAAAACGAAGAGAAGAGCTGTTATAAGCTGTGGCCGCCCCGCCGCCTCTTGGCCGCCTTTGTGTAGTAGCAGTTTCGACATTTTTTCAACAGCTGGCGCAGCTGACCACGCAGAGTCCGAATCATGTGTTGCTGCTTCCAACCAGTCTGTCTCTTGTTGTCCAGAGGCTGCTTCATCCTCACCGTGGACAGAGCAGTCACGGAGTACCCCACAGAGTTGACTCAGCTCACGGCGCAGACAGAGCTCTCCACCGGGCCCTGGCCTCACATATTGCGAGTTGTTGCTGACCCTGCTGACCACCATGTCACCGCGTCGGAGGCTCTGCTTCCAGCCTCTGGAGCTGCTGCCGCTCACGGAGCCCGCGGCTGCAAGGCGGGGTTTAAAGACAGACGTCTGCTTGCTGAGAGCTTTATTTGCCCTTGCATGGAGGATCGCAAAGTGTCGGGAGGACGAGCTGCGAGCTCTGCCTGGCGAGGTGCGCAGGCTGAGACAGCTCACTACTGTAGCAGCAGACGAAGAAGGCTTTTGCGCCAAGAATCCATGATTGGCAGACCGGTTTACCTGCCCGTCTCATGCTCCTGAGAAGTTGAAGCCTGCCTTGAGGTTTCTGTTGTGGGTTTATCCGTGTGAGACCTGTAACCGATGAAGGTCTGGCAGACGCCGTTGATGGCAAGCCTGCTGGGTCGCATCCTTAGCTTGCGCAAGTGCTTGCAGCCGGAGGCCACTTTCCGTGAAGCCCCGCGCATAGACACAGTCTCCTGAGGCAAGTACCGCGAAGAGCAGGAGGACAGCACGATTCGACCCAATCACCAGGATCAGCTGATGGATTTTCGCTCGTGCGCGCGTGCGGAAGTTTCTGGAGGAGCTCCCGGCGTCTGCTGGCGCCGCGGCCGAGCTCGAGCTCATGCGGTTTGCTGTCGAGGCTCTCCTGGCGCAGGCGCTTCAAAAGCGTCTGAAGCTCCCTTAGCAGCTTTCAGATCCTGCAATCAGGGTGGGCAGTGGGTAGTTCGCATGCACTGATTTTCCCCTCCAGGCAGAGCAGCGCACTGGCAGATCGGGGCTGCGCGAGATGCTGCACGCCGTCTGCTTGCGAACGCTCAAGGCGGGAGAGTGAGTCCGTGGCGTCCATCATGCTGACTGTTCGCTTGAATTTTTGCCTGCGTCCGCCCCCTGCAAACTTCTTTTTGTGGCGAATCCCGCCGCAGGCAGGACAGCGGCTTCTGCGAGAGGCGGACTTCGCGGGCAAGGAGGCGCCGCGCTTTGCGTCACTTTACGATGTGAGCGCCACGTGTTTTCTCGCCCGGGTGGCGGGCGCCGGTCTTTGTCGCATTCCGCTCAGGTGATGTTCCAGGAAGCCCTGCGAGGGCACCTGAGCTTCTTCGAGCCGGCCGCCGGCCAGGACGCCGCGCCGCCCTCGAGACTTGCTGCGAAGTGTTGTGAAAAGCTTGCAAAGCCGTTTCGGGTGGAGTTGCGCATGTAGGTACAGATTTACCATCTGCGCATGCACGAGCTCCTGGCAGCGGAGGCCCGGGCAGACACAAAGTATGCTGCGGAGGTCAGTGTCTGAAAGTGTCTGAAAGTGGCCACTGCCCGGAATTTCGGTGGGTTTGGGCTTCTTGACAGGCCTGGAGGGACTCTCAGCCCCCTGCCTGGGGCCAAGACGTGCCGACGAGCAGCTTTCTCTACGACGCCTATATGCCACATGCATGCTGTGACAGGATCTGCGAGAGGAATCGCATAGAATCGCGATATTGCATGCGCAGTGTCCAGCCCATTCGTTGTATAGACATGTATAGACGTGTGCAGACACGTGCCGCAGTCCCACGCCTTGCCGAGGCCCAGGACCAACACGGCTGGAAGAATGCCTTCGGCGAGGTGCAGGCGCAGCCCATGCTGCGAGGCTGCCCGGCTTAAGAAGGCAGAACCAGGCCCAGGTTTGGGCCCTACGACTTAAGCTACGCCTTTGACTCTAGCCACTACTATTACTATGACTGCTCAAGGAGTCCTGCACTACGTCCTCATGATGGAAATGCCGGAGATGGCCCAGATGCCGCAGCAACAAATTGACCTCAGCGAGCTACAGTATCCGCTGGCTGCTGCAGAACTGGAGATCCTTTTCGGAGGACGGCCCAACTTTTTTGGAGTAGATGTCCGGTCTGTTTGCTGCTTCCTGAGCCCGGTGGCGCCCGCTCGGAAGAGGCCGCGGCACGGACGCAGCTCCTGCCTTCGCTCAGGACTTCAGACCTGCCTCGAGCCCCGGTCCGAGAAGCTCCTGCTGCACCTCCCGCGCTGTGGTTCCAGCATCGGCGGCCACCTAAGAGCGGAGTTCTGAAGCACGAAGATCATCAAATGCGCAAGGCATAGAGGAGAGCTTGGAGAGCAGCAGCAGGGTGCCTTTCCGCCGGCGCCCGAGGCCTGGAGGGAGCCCGGAGCCTGGGCGCGGCGCTGCGGCGCTTCGGCCGGCTCCGGGAGCTGGACTTGAAAATGGGGAGCGCCGGCCTCGGCCGGGGAGCCCAGCAAGCAAGCACCTGTTGAAGGAATGCGTCAACGTGTCCGGCGGTGGGAGCACCGGCCATGGTCGAGAACCAAAGTGCAGAAAAGGTGGTGGACCAGTCATGCAGACAGAAGCTTCCGGAAAGTAGAACAACGAACCACGATCAACTTCCGTTGCCCCCGCAACAACACTGCCAGAGCATGCAAGGGCAAGGAGTGTTGAAGAGGGCCGCCAACCGTTCTTGAACCAAAAGGCTTTCGGCAGTCTCAGTGTTGGGGAGGTTTGCGTGATTCTGGGCATAATGAGGAGATTATCGGCGGTGAGTAGAAATTCAACAACTCTGATATCTGGACTTAGCGGTTGCGAAGTGCAGCCCTTGGTCAGACATGGGTGCCAAGAGGGGTGGGTGGAGTGCAGCGGCGCCAAGTGGACAGTGGAGCGTAGGATCCAAGGCAGAATGATTCACATGCGATTCTCATCGAAAGAACAAAAAAATGCCATGTGCAGCCTCAGAGGATTTGCTGCTTCCAAGTCAGCAGCCCACACTGCCCAGCATGTCGTGCAATCTCGGGCGATGACTATGTACAAGGTGCTCACGGGTTGCAGATGAGGGCGCGGTGGCGTGATGTCGTCATGCACAGCCTGAAAGTCCCTTTGTCGTTCTGCCTTTTGTAAGGTTTTGCATGCAAGCAACGGACGTCCCTATACAGCCGAGATAGTGGCGGCGCTTCAGCACTTGTCTATTGTATTCTGAAGCTGTTGAAACCGCCGTGGATCGGCGCAGCCGACTCGTCCAACAGTCGTGGACCGCCCAAATGCAGTATGGGCATCTGCCATCATCTGCTAGTCAATGCAGCATGAGTATGCATGAGTCATTGCGGATGCCGGGGATGCAGGGATGTTTGGGGGAGCTGGACTTGGCGCCGAGGCGCTGAGGAAGCAGCCGCTCTGGCCGGCGCGCTCGCCCGCCTCCAGGAGCTGACCCAGCTGAAGCTCGGCTTAGGTGGCAATGCTGAGCTCGGCCGGGGGCCCCAGAGCAAAGGGCCATGGCCTTGAAAAGCTGAAGTTGGGGCAAGCCGGGCAACAACGGGCAGCATTTCGCAGAGATGCAATTTTGTGAGTAATGAGAATTTCGGAACTGCTGAAGACCTGACGCCGAGGCGCCGAGGGCTGGCGCTCGCTCGCAAAAGCCCTCGGCGGCCTCCCGAAGCTGGCGGCCCTGGAGCTTGGCCTTTGGGAATGCAAGCTCGGCCGGGGGACCTGGAGAGCTGGGCCCGGGGAAGGCGAAGCAATCAAAGATCGCCGGGCCGAATTCTTGCCAGGCGATGCGAATGATGCAGCAAACTGCAATCCAGCAATGCTGAACTTAAAGTCGTTCTTGAACCAAAAAGCTAGCGGCTGCAGGGGCCACCGGGGTCCCGCACGCGCCCGCTCTGTTTTGGAGTGAGGTTTGCGTGATCTGGGCATAATGTGGAGATCATCCGCCGGGCAGTAGGAATCAACAACTCCGATTTTTGGACTTGGCGGTTGCCAAGTCCAGCCCTTGGTCGGAAAGGGATGCCAAGAGTGGGTGGGTGGATGCCAAGAGCGGGTGGAGTGAAGCTGCGCCAAGTTGTTGGAACGTAGCATCCCTCGGACAAAACAAAAGATCACGAATGGCAGCGTGCCACATGCAGCCTCGGAGGCTTTGCTGCGTCCAAGTCAGCAGTCCAAGTCATCAGTCCAAGTCATCAGCTCACACTGCCCCCGCATGTCATTGCGGCCGTGCAATATCGTGCAGTGACGATTCTTTCAGGTGCCCAAGGCAGGAGGGGATAAATGGCCGTGGCGGATGCGGGTATACGGGGATGTTTGGGGGAGCTGGACTTGGCGCCGAGGCGCGGAGGAGGCAGCCGCTCTGGCCGGCGCGCTCGCCCGCCTCCAGGAGCTGACTCAGCTGACGCTCGGCTTGTATGGCAATGCTGAGCTCGGCCGGGGGCCCCAGAGCAGAGGGGCATGGTCTGGAAAAGCTGCAGGGGCGTTTGAGGGCGAAATTTGGGCAAACCAAGGGCATCATTTCGCAGAGATGCAACTTGTGAGTACTGAGAATTTCGGAACTGCTGAAGACCTGATGCCGAGGCGCCGAGGGCTGGCGCTCGCTGGCAGAAGCCCTCGGCAGCCTCCCGAAGCTGGCGGCCCTGGATCTTGATCTCGGCAACTGCAAGCTCGGCCGGGGGACCTGGAGAGCTGGGCGCGCCACGGGAAGTGAGAGGATCGTCGCGCCAAGCTCTCTGCACCCTTCATCGCTCCAGCGCTTGTGTGTCTGGCCTTGAACAGTTTGAGACGTGGTAATTGGCAGAGAATGCGGGAAATTAGCCTGTGTGATGAGGCGCGGGGGAAATCGGGGAAGAGATTGGGGGAGTTTCCTGAGCCTTTGAACCAAAATCGCCGATGAGAAGGCGAAGCAATCAAAGATCGCCGGGCCGAATTCTTGCCAGGCGATGCGAATGATGCAGCAAACTGCAATCCAGCAATGCTGAACTTAAAGCAGCCGAGCAAGACAAGCGACCACCAGTCGTTCTTGAACCAAAAAGCTAGCGGCTGCAGGGGCCACCGGGGTCCCGCGCGCGCCCGCTCTGTTTTGGAGTGAGGTTTGCGTGATCTGGGCATAATGTGGAGATCATCCGCCGGGCAGTAGGAATCAACAACTCCGATTTTTGGACTTGGCGGTTGCCAAGTCCAGCCCTTGGTCGGAAAGGGATGCCAAGAGTGGGTGGGTGGATGCCAAGAGCAAGCTGCGCCAAGTTGTTGGAACGTAGCATCCCTCGGAGAAAACAAAAAAGATCACGACTCTGAGGCTTTGCTGCCTCCAATGGTCCAAAGGTGCTCAAGGGGTTCTGGCTTGCAGATGAGGGGCGGTGGCGTGACGTCGTCATGCATGTGCCGAAAGTCCCTTCGAAGTGCTGCCTTTGTGAGGTTTTTGTGATTTGCCAGCAGTGGACTTCCCTACACAGCCGAAAGACTGGCGGCGCTTCAGCACTTTGTGCTATTTACTGTAGTTTGGCGTGGATCGGCGCAGCCGACTCTTTGGAAGAGTCGTGGACCGCCCAAGGCAGTATGGGCATCTGCCAGCCAATGCAGCATGAATCATTGCGGATGGCCGGGGTGCGCGGATGTCGGGGGAGCTGGACTTGGTGCCGAGGCGCGGAGGAGGCAGCCGCTCTGGCCGGCGTGCTCGCCCGCCTCCAGGACCTGACTCGGCTGAAGCTCTACTTGAATTTCAACGATGAGCTCGGCCGGGGGCCCCAGGGCAGAGGGGCATAGTCTTGACAAGCTGCAGGGGCGTTTGAGGGCCAAGCATGGGCAAGCAGGGGTCATCATTTGGCAGACATGCGATTTTGTGAGTATGGAGAATCTCGAGGCGCCGAGGGCTGGCGCTCGCTGGCAGAAGCCCTGCGATCCCTATCAATTTTTCACCTATGAAGCCTTCTTCACCCCCAAACGGATTTAAGAGAGAGAGGAGGAGCACCTGGAGGCCTGCGGTGAAGTGTGAAGGCTCGGCCAGCAGAAAAGGAGGATGCATCCGTTGCTTGCGCTTTGTGCCCAAGGCCTCCAAAGCTGCCTCGAGCTCGCGGGGGCACTCCGGCGGATCCCGGCGCTGGCCAAGCTGTGGGTCGACTTCTCATGCTGCATTTTGGGCAGCGGGGGCCCCGGAGTGACGAGACTAACGCTTTGAGGCCTCGGAAGCTCCAAATCCGATGCCCTCGAAGTCCCAAGCCATCCCAAGCCCGAACCCTATTAAATCCCTGTGCCCTCCTTGCAACACAAGGCCTGCATCTACACAGCCTCACCTCTCAGACCTCATCTTCCCATTCCCAGAGCTCCCTTCGACCCCCAAAGCGCTCCCCCCACCCAGGCGACGAGGAGAAAGCGGAGCTGCGTGCGGCCCTGGAGGCACTGCCAGCGGCCGACAAGGAGATCCATGTCTGAGCCGAGGCCTGGAGGTGGGGGGGGGGGTTGGGGGGGGGGTGGGGGTGGATCCAGGCAGTTTAGGGGGCTTCGGGCGCTCATAGCCGAGTTCTGAGTATGGTCTAAGGCTATGGTCGAAGGCTTTGGCTGGAGACGTTGGGATGTGCAGATTTGGGGCAACATGTGGGGGGTGGGTTTGAGGAGGAAGCTGCGTGCCTCAAGGGATTGTGCAGGCGCGCGCGCCAGATCAAGGGGCAGGAAGAAAGCTGTCACAGAGCCCTCGCCAACTTGCCAATTGAACCAAGATGATACCTTTTTTGCTCGCCTACATTGAATCTTCTGCACTCCGAACCCTACGCTGCTCTGACCTTATGATGTTTAAGGCCACGCGCTAAGTGATCGTACCCCAAACCCCAGAACGGGGTGGGGGAAGGGCCAGCCCCCAAGTCCCAGAAGACAGCCCAATCCCCGCAGCCCGGAGCACCTCAACGGTCCCGGGTTTAGGGTTTAGGGTTTAGGGTTTAGGGTTTAGGGTTGGGGGTTCATGGGGGGTAGGTACCTAGGGAAGCTTAGAGGGGCCTTAGGGGAGGAGTGGGGAGTATGAGAGAAACCTTGGGTTGCATACCCCCCCCCCTTGAACCGCCCTCCCTTAAGAACTCTAGAACTGCAGCCATTCACAGGCCGAACTTCTCCATCCTCCTCGATTCCGGGAGCACATAAGCCGAGAAACTCAGGCACCGGTTTAGGGTTTAGGGTTTAGGGTTTAGGGTTTAGGGTTTAGGGTACATAGATTTAGACTACCCTGCGGCTCCCGGCCACTTCTGCCCTGAGGGCTTTGTAGGGTGCCTGCGGGTGTTTGGGGTATATAGGGTTGATGGTTTTTTGTTGGGGTTTCCTGGCGTTCCTAGGGCTTAGAGGGTTCATAGGGGCTTCAAAATCAGGGTGTGTAGGGTATGCAGGCAACCTAGCGACTGTGTACGGTTACAGCGACTGGGAGAGCTGAGATTGTGGATGGTCGAGGTGTCACGGATCAGGCTTCGTGTGCGGTATCTGGGCCGGGGGTTTGTAGGGTTTGCACAAAAGCGGTTTCTAGGGCTTCTCGGGTCACATGTTTTTGGCTTTAACCCTAAGCCCTTCTTTGGGTGATCTTTCCCTTCAAGAAGTGCGATTCTAGGTTTTCCATTCCAAACAAGGGCCAGGGGCCAGTAGCCCACACGCAGCTCTACAGTTCTCACTTGGGGGTTTACGATATTAGGGTACCTTATTGGGGTCCTGATGATAAGGGGATCCTACGATTTGGGGGTTTACATGAGGGGGTCCCGTATTTTCGTAAAAGCCCACTTCTTTCCCTTGGCTTCTTTCAACGACAGGCTTGAGGTTCCTGGCCCTGCCCTGGTTTCCCTCAAGGGGTTTCGCTTTCCTCTGCTAGGATGTTCGGGGTACATCTAACCCTCTAAGTAAGTTGTAGGTACGGTTCTGATTGGGCTTAGAAGTACCCATGAACCTGCAAGAGCGAGCGACCACCAGTCGTTCTGGAACCAAAAGGCTGGCGGCAGGCTCAGGGGTCACGGGGTCCAAAACGCCCGCTCTGTTTTGGAGTGAGGTTTGCGTGATCTGGGCATAATGTGGAGATCATCCGCCGGGCAGTAGGAACCAACAACTCCGATTTTTGGACTTGGCGGTTGCCACGTGCCGTCAGAAATGGATGCCAAGCAGCCTCAGAGGCTTTGCTGCCTCCAAGTCAGCAGCCCACACTGCGGTAACGCTGAGAAATATCGTGCAGTGATGATTGTACAAGGTGCTCAGGGGAAAACGTTGGTCTGGGTTGAAGACGCCTTGGAAGTTTTGCCTTTGTGAGTTTTTGTGAGGTATACAGCCGAGATAGAGCACTTTTCTTTTGCATCCTCAAACAGCTGAAAGCGCCGTGGATCTGCGCAGCCGACTCTTTGGAAGAGTCGTGCACCGCCCAAATACAGTAATGGGCATCTGCCATCATCTGCCTGTCAATGCAGCATGAGTCCTTGCGGATGCCGGGGATGCGATGTTTGGAGAGCCTCGGTGCCGAGGCGCGGAGGAAGCAGCCGCTCTGGCCGGCGCGCTCGCCCGGCTCCAGGAGCTGACTCAGCTGAAGCTCTACTTGAGGTCCAACGATCAGCTCGGCCGGGGGCCCCAGGGCAGAGGGGCATGGTCTTGAAAAGCTGCAGGGGTGTTTGAGGGTGAAGCTGGGGCAAGCAGAAAGCAGAGGGCATCACTTGGCAGAGATGCAATTTTGTGAGTAATGAGAATCTCGGAACTGCTGAAGACCTGATGCCGAGGCGCCGAGGGCTGGCGGTCGCTGGAAGCGCTCGGCGGCCTCCCGAAGCTGGCGGCGCTGGAGCTTGATCTCACTGAATGCATGCTCGGCCGGGGGACCTGGAGAACTATGCGAGACGGGTGGTATGATCCAGAGGATCATCGCGCCAAGCTCTCCGCTTGTGCATCTGCCCTGAACAGTCTGAGACAGGTGGGTGGCAGGGAATCCAGGGAATTAGCGTGTGTGATGAGGCGCGGGAAAAGTCGGGGAAGAGATCGGGAGTTTCCTTCGTGTTGAACCAGAATGGCCACCCTAAACCCTAAACCCTACACCCTAAACCCTAAACCCAAAACCCTAAACCCAAAACCCAAAACCCTAAACCCTACACCCTAAACCCGACGGCGAAGGGCGAAGAGGTCCCGTGTTTGGTTCGAATTGCACAAAAGGCAGTCCGAGATGACCGGGCCGTGTTTTTTGACAGGCGATGCTAGTTAGCTCAGAGGGTCCATTTGTAGTACTGCTATGGAATTGGGTACCCCAAAACCCTACTTAGTATGGTTTTTGGATGTTTTTGGGTACCTAATTCCATAGTAGTAATACACATGGACCCTCAGGGTAATGATGCTGCAAACGGCAATGGAGCAAGGCTGAGCTTGAAGCAGCCGAGCAAGACAAGCGACCGCCCAGCGTTCTTGAACCAAAAGGCTGGCGGCAGGCGAAGGCGTCACTGGGTCCAAAACGCCCGCTCTTTTCTTTTTGGGGGGTGAGGTTTGGGTGATCTGGGCATACTGTGGAGATCATCGGCAGCACAGTAGGAATCAACAGCTCCGGTTTTTGGACTTGTCAGTTGCCAAGTCCAGCTCTTGGTCAGAAAGGATTGCCAAGAGGGGGTGGGTGGAGTGAGGCTGGGCCAAGTAGCTGGAACGTAGAATCCAAGGCAGACTGCATGTGATTCTCGGAGAGAGAACGAAAAGATCACGAATGGCAGCGTGCCATGTGCAGCCTCAGAGGCTTTGCTGCCTCCAAGTCAGCAGCCCACACTGCGGTAACACTGAGAAATATCGTGCTGTGATGATTGTACAAGGTGCTCAGGGGAAAACGTTGGTCTGGGTTGAAGACGCCTTGGAAGTTTTGCCTTTGTGAGTTTTTGTGAGGTATACAGCCGACATAGAGCACTTTTCTTTTGTATTCTCAAACAGTTGAAAGTGCCCTGGATCTGCGCAGCCGACTCTTTGGAAGAGTCGTGGACTGCCCAAATACAGTAATGGGCATCTGCCATCAACTGCCGGTCAATGCAGCATGAGTCCTTGCGGATGCTGGGGATGCGATGTTTGGAGAGCCTTGGTGCCGAGGCGCGGAAGAAGAAGCCGCTCTGGCCGGCGCGCTCGCCCGCCTCCAGGAGCTGACTCAGCTGAAGCTCTACTTGAGGTCCAACGATCAGCTCGGCCGGGGGCCCCAGGGCAGAGGGGCATGGTCTTGAAAAGCTACAGGGGCGTTTGAGGGTGAAGCTGGGACAAGCAGAAAGCAGAGGGCATCACTTGGCAGAGATGCAGGTTGTGAGTAATGAGAATCTCGGAACTGCTGATGACCTGATGCCGAGGCGCCGAGGGCTGGCGGTCGCTGGAAGCCCTCGGCGGCCGCTGGAAGCCCTCGGCGGCCTCCCGAAGCTGGCGGCGCTGGAGCTTGATCTCACTGAATGCATGCTCGGCCGGGGGACCTGGAGAACTATGCGAGACGGGTGGTATGATCCTAGAGGATCATCGCGCCAAGCTCTCCGCTTCTGCATCTGCCGTGAACAGTTTGAGACAGGTGGGTGGCAGGGAAAATGCAGGGGATTACTGTAGCGTGTGTGATGAGGCGCGGGAGAAGTCGGGGAAGAGATGGGGCGTTTCCTGAGCGTTGAACCAGAACGGCCGATGAGAAGGCGAAGAACGACGAGGTCCCCTGTTGGTTCGATATGCACAAAAGCAATCCGAGATCACCGGGCCGTATTTTCGCCAGGCGATGCTAACTAATTGATAATGCTGCAAACTGCAATCAAGCATTGCTGAACTTTGAGCAGCCGAGCGAGCGACCACCAATCGTTCTTGAGCCAAAAGGCTGGCGGGGGGCTCAGGGGTCACGGGATCCAAAGCGCCCGCTCTGTTTTGGGGTGAGGTTTGCGTGATCTGGGCATAATGTGGAGATCATCGGCCGCACAGTAGGAATCAACAACTCGGATACCTGGATCTGGCGGTTGCCACGTGCCGTCAGAAATGGGATGCCAAGAGGGGGTGGGTGGAGTCAAGCTGAATGCAATGTCGGCCGGCGGACCTGGAGAGCTGGGCGGGCCAGGGGGAGGGGTTGCTTCAGTACTGCCGAGGCGCGGAGGAGGCAGCCGCTCTGGCCGGTGTGCTCGCCCGCCTCCAGAAGCTGACTCGGCTGAAGCTCAATTTATGGCAAAACGATCAGCTCGGCCGGGGGCCCCAGAGCAGAGGGGCATGGTCTTGAAAAGCTGTAGGGGCCTTTGAGTTTGGGCACGCAGGGGGCATCCTTTTTCGCAGAGAAGCAACTTGTGAGTAATGAGAACTTCGGAACTGCTGAAGACCTGATGCCGAGGTGCCGAGGGCTGGCGGTCGCTGGCAGAAGCCCTCGGCGGCCTCCCGAAGCTGGCGGCGCTGGGGCTTGATCTCCGTGAGTGCAAGCTCGGCAGGGGGACCTGGAGAGCTATTCGAGACGGGGTGGTCCATGCTTTCTGCACCCTACATCGCTCCAGCACTTGTGCATCTGCCCTGAACAGTTGCGAGGTGGGGAAGATTGCATGCCCCGCACCCCCTATATGAATAGCTTTTGCACTTGGGGTTCTTCCAACTTTGTGTGCTCTGGGATGTTGACTGTCTTCAGCGACCTCTCACGGCTCTCAAGCCTGAAAGTGAGCATACCCTTGAGGTTGTGCACAAGGTATCGAACTCAATGGAAGGGCACTTGACATCAAACGTGGTTGCGCGAGAGTTAGCCTCAAAGGCACTGATGACATCTGCAACACATGCAGCAGTGTCGATGTCGTTCGATGCGAACAACGATAAGGGAGCGTGTTGGTAATCCAACGAGGCTCCTGAGCGATCGCCCGACCTTCCAGCGTGGGCTTGCGAAGTTTAATGAGCTGTCGTTGTCCAACGAGTATGTGGAGTCAGCCTCATTGAACAAGCACGTTGCAAAGTCACAAACACGGGGATGTATAGAAAAGTCACATGGCGAATGGGTCGTTGTGGAGCGAGAGGGTCGAGGGTTTCATCGCTGTGCCGAGGTGCAGAGGAGGCGATTGCCCTGGCCGGCGCCTTGGGCAACTTGGCGGAGCTCCGGGAGCTGAAGCTCAACTTGTTCGACAACCAGATCGGCCCGGGGGCCCGGAGTGGGAAAAGAAGTGAGAGGAGGAGCGCCCGAAACCTTTGCAGTGAAGGCTCACCCAGCAGAAACAGGAGGAAGACCCGCGCGTTGCGTTGCGCTTCTGTGCCCTCCAGGCCTCCAGGGCTGCCTCGCGCTCGCGGGGGCTCTCCGGCGGCTCCCGGCGCTGGCCAAGCTGTACGCCGACTTCCGACGGTGCGTGGGCCGGGACTCCCGGGGCGACGGGGCTAACGCTCTGAGGCGCCGAGCTGAAATGAGCTCCGAAAGCCGGGGGGGGGCTTGCCCCCCAAAAAGTCCTCCCCCCAAAAACACCTCCGAGCACCCGCTTCAACAAATCCGATGCCCTCGAAGAAGCCATCCGAAGCCTCCCCAAAAAATCCCTGGTGCTCCCAAAGCCTGTACTTGCTCCGTGCAGTATCAAGCCCGGCCACACCTCTCAGACCTCATCTTCTGAACCCTAAACCCTAAACCCTAAACCCTAAACCCTAAACCCTAAAATGGCCCTAAACCCTAAACCCTAAACCCTAAACCCTAAACCCTAAACCCTAAACCGAGGCAGGGAGTAGAAAGCGGAGCTCCGCACAGCCGAGGAGACCATCGAGCTCTGAGCCGAGGCCTGGGGGTCTGCGGAGGGGAGGGGGGGGTTTAGGGTTTAGGGTTTAGGGTGTAGGGTTTAGGGTTTAGGGTTAAGAATGTAGGAGGGGTTAAGGGAGAACTGGCGAGTTCAGGGTATGCAGGGCTTCAGCGGCTTAGGGCATAAGATGTTTTGGAGTTTGCAGAGTTTAGGGTTTGGGGGGACTTTGGGATGGTATGGGTTTGGGTGAATGTGGTTGGTTCACGAGGAAGCTGTAAGTAAGTCGAGCAAAGATCTTGTCAGCTCAAATCAAGAAGCTGTCGCCGCCCCCAACACTTGAACAAGCATGGAACCGTTTCGTTCCCACTTGGTTCAGCTGCGTGGCCCTGACGTCTTGGTGTTGAAGGCCATGCGGGAAACTATGGCACCCCACACCCCAAGCCTCAAACCCAAGCCCACAACACCCAATACCCTACGAACCCAAAACCTTCCCTTTTGAGCCGTACGCTTTGGGGTTTAAGAGGGTTTAGGGTTGAGGGTTTAGGGGGGGGGGGGAGTTTGGGGTTTAGGGTTTAAGGTTTAGGGGTGCAGTCTGGGAGTGGTGTTTTCCTTTGGAGGCTGTTCCTGGCTACGTTTAGGGTCCGGGTCGTCTTGTTGTTGGATGATCGCAGTTTGAGGTGCAATGTGGGGGGGGGGGGGGGGGGGGGGGGGGCGGGGGGCACCCTTAGGAAACCCTCGGTGGTGTTCCCGTCTCGTTGAAGCTGCTTCCTCCTCCATAGTTCTCGCTTCTCGCTTCTTTTCTTTTTCGGCGAAGGTGATCGGAGAGGGCGGCCAACCTGATATCCGCAGCAGGTGCCCGCTGGCTGTGCGGGGACTGGTCATCGCAACACTGAGGATACTGAGACGCGCAGCCGCTCTAAGAGGTTCTCCTCTCCTTCAGCCAGCCGGAATTGGCGACCGTAGAACAGCGCAGGTGCATGCTGCTGTGCGGGCCGCCGGAACATCCGACGTGCACCCCGAAATCGCCGAAAGTTTGCCACCTCGCTGTCTCCTGGTTCCTCAGCCCATTTTGGCGTCAGCAGGCAGATGCAAGTGCAGCTTGTGGAGAAGAACCCTGAGAATCCTCAACCCTGTAAGTTATGCCTGGACACATGAACGGGTTGGGCCATCGCAAGGCCGCTTGGGTGTTCTCGTCCCGTTTTTGCAACTCGCTGCATCGCCATCGCCTGTAGGGCGTTGCCTCGCGAACGTGGGCGAAAGCAAAAATAGGTTTTTGCTCTCTGCGTCTGGCTTATACACCCTTGAAATCATACTCCATAAGCTCACAGCTTTCACCACGCAATTGCCCGTTTTACTCCGCAACTCTCTTCGGCAACGCTTGGGAGACTTTGGGTCGGTGTGGACCTTGACAAGGAATTCTCGCAAGGGGGTCCATGTTTGGCTCCATGGTGCCCCCCACGAAGCTCGGATCACCCGCATCCTTTGGCCGTGAAATCTTGGGCTTTGACTGGAATCCTTGGGCCCCAAGTGTCACCAAGATATTCTAGTTTCCAGCTGGAGCTGCGTCATAAGAATGTAAGCTACCCTTGTGTATAATATTCCATCTTATGCCCTCTTCTCCTCATGGCAAATCTGCATTCTGACAGCTACATGTTGCGAATGTCGTGCTGTATGCCAACTTCTCAAACATGTCTCTGCATGCAGCCGTTTGGGCTTTCTTTGTCTGCCCCGGCAGCGGACTTGGCCAGGGCCCGGAGCCCTTCATGCTTCAGTGGTACACAGACTGGAGGTATAGTAGAGTAGAGCAGAGGAGAGTAGAGGAGAGTATGGGTAGGGGTAGAGTCTTAGCAGATTGTATAGTGTAGATAGTATGTAATATCCTGCAGTATGGGTCCAAGACTTGGTTCTCGCGGTGTCTCAGGGGCTTTGTTTGTTGTCGGTGCTGTCGTCAAGGAGTTTTTACGGCGCTACACACGCACGCAAGACAATCCGCATTTTAACGACAAGGCGTTTTCCTCCACTTCCCCCTTTTTATCAGAGCATGAAAGGCAGACGACCACTTGCAACCACCTGCACGTACGTCTGTGAGCCGTAGAGGGTCAGGGCGGGCACGACTCCAGGCCGCCATATGAGCTTAGTAGGGGGGTAGAAGCCGGAGGCTCGAGGCGACTGGTTTTGGCCTCAGGTACTGTATCTGGGTCAGCCGCCCAGACCTAACAAACCGAGAAAAGAACCCCCCGCTTCTGGCAACGTGTTTAGGAGAACCGCCCCGGAAACCCTAAACCCGAGACTCCCCCTAAACCCTTGAGGCCTTTGATGCCGGGCACTGCGGAACATCCAAACGTGCGCAGCGTGATGGACCATGCAGGCCCCGGGTCCATACTCTTCCATTTCGTGCATGCGCCTGCTGAGAGAGCCGTGATGTGAGACATCCCTTGGGGTCCCTCTGGTCTCAGAGTCATGGCATAATATGTCATGCAAACGCCCCCCCTCGGCCCCTCCAGCACTTTTGGTGCAAGGAAAGGCGCAGTTTTGGGCAGTCTCAGGTTTGCACACAGGTGCGAGCCTCCGGAGCGCGATGCCCGTGCAGCAGTTCCCTCCCAGTGTACGCGTGGCAAAGCTGGCGCCGGCAGATGGGACGGACGAAGACACCGTCGAGCTGCTCGGGGATCAGCCGGCCGTTCGTGGTTGGCAGCCGTGCAGGTGGAAACCCTAAACCCTAAACCCTAAACCCTAAACCCTAAACCCGAAACCCTAAACCCTAAACCCTAAACCCTAAACCCTAAACCCTAAACCCTAAACCCTAAACCCTAAACCCTGAACCCTGAACCCTAAACCCCAAACCCTAAACCCTAAACCCTAAACCCAAAACCCTAGACCCCCAGGTGGCAGGTGCTGGCCAGCATCTCTCTGAGCGCCCTGGTGCTGTGCGCCGCGGGGCTCTTCCTGGCGGATCCCTGCCAGATTCCCTTCCGGCCTCTCCGCACGCTTCTCCAAGGAACTCCCTTGTCACCTGGGGTGGATTTTGGAAACCCTAAACCCTGAACCCTAAACCCTAAACCCTAAACCCTAAACCCTAAATCCTAAACCCTAAACCCTAAACCCTAAACCCTAAACAAAGTTTCTATGGGTCCTAATTCCTAATATATACCCTTTATAGCCCATAGAAGTTTAAATTTTCTAGGGCCCAAGTCCCCCCCCCCCCCCCCCAGTTCCCCTAAACCCTAAACCCTAAACCCTAAACCCTAAATTCTAAAACCTAAACCCTAAACCCTAAACCCTAAGCCCTGAACCCTAAATCCTAAACCCTAAACCCTAAACCCTAAACCTAAACCCTAAACCCTGAACCAGGTCCCTGGAAGCCAAGTTCGAGGTCGCCGTTCGGGAGTTGAAGGCCGTAAAGTCCAAGGCGGAGGCAGATGCCATCGTCGCGGCCGCCATGGCAGCAGCCACTTGCTGTTGGTGGGTTTAGGGTTTGGGGTTTGGGGTTTAGGGTTTAGGGTTTAGGGTTTAGGGTTTAGGGTTTAAGGGAATAAGGGCCCTATATATACCCTTAAAGGGATCATAGAGGGTACCTCATTCCCCCCCCCCCAGTCCCTGCTAACCAGCAGCCCAAGGCCAAAGAGAAGAGTGAGGCGCAGCACAAGCTCGCGGTCCTTCCCCCGGACGTTCGGGTCCTCAACACCGGATCTTCCGCGGTGGACCACTACTTGCCTTTCAACGCCGCAGAGCTGGACCGCAGTTCCCAGGCCTTGGCTTCGGGGCATCCGCTGCATGGCATCAGGGACCACAAGCTGAAGGAGCAGGAGAACTTCCGGACGGCCTTCTGCGTCTTCAACGTCGTTGAGGTCATGGACAGCCTTACGGCTTTTGCCCTTGACATCGAAGCCATCGTGCATACCTGCCCGCCGCCCCGGGACGACGTCGGCACCTTTGCCTGTACGGTGAATTCTGAGACCATGGCGCAGATGATTGGGAATGCCGCCACGTGGCTGTCGAATGCCGTGTCCACTTGCGGGATCCTTCCCGACGCCGGCGCAGAATGCGGCGCGGCCGCGTCGGGAACGATCGCCGCCCTCGCCCAAGTGCATGCAAGCACGAGCTTGGCGATGACCACGTGCAAGAAGAACCCGCTGGAAGGCCTGCAGCAGAAGCACAAGGCTTGCTTCGACGATGACTGCACAGTCTATGAGGGCACTCTGATGTCGCAGGTCGGCCGAAAGAAGCCAGAGCCCGCCAGCCGGCGCTTGTTCATGGGAAGTGGGGTTGCTGGCATGGGAGTGCAGTGTGCCGTGGATGTGGGGTTTATCATCGAGAACCTTTACAAGTACATCTTCTTCGTGCAGAGAGCCGCCAGGCTCAACTTCTGCGACAAGAACATCCGGTACGGGCCCTATGACTACCTCACCGGTGTCCCAGAGGCGGCTTGCGCGATGGACGCCACGGGCTCGATTGCCTGGCTCACCCAGATTGCCACCTTCGCCCAGCAGCTCGTGAGCCCTTTGGCCTGGTGCAAGATACTTGCGGGCCTCACGAGAGCGTTAATCTTGTCCAAGATCTGTGCAGCATCCAGGTAGCTCACCAAACCCTAAACCCTAAACCTTCAACATCCCTGAATCCTAAACCGTAAACCCGAAAATGCAACACGACAATCACATAGAGAGTGATCAAGTTTGACCGCCACTGACCGCCATCGCAAGATTGTAGAGCCTCCTGACCGAGCAATATGGGCCTTTACGAAAATAAGGGGGCCCTAGTCGAGTCCCCGAGAAATTGTGGGATCCCCTTATCATGGATCCCGTTTTGATGCGGACCCCAACACGGTATAATTTCGGAACCCACCCCCCCCCCCCCCCCCCCATATTATCATATCCCTAAACCCGAAACCCTAAACCCTCAACCCTAAACCCTAAACCCTAAACCCTAAACCCTAAACCCCCCCCATACCAAGGCCATTGTCCCGACTTCATGAACCTGCCCACCCTCTGTGGGTCCAGCATCACCGGCATGATCTCAGCGGTCTTTCAGATTGCGACCTGGGGTGCGGGGCTCCACATCTCCTGCACCAAAGGACTTAGAGGGGTGCTTGAAGAGGGTTTAGGGTTTAGGGTTAGGGTTTAGGGTTTAGGGTTTAGGGTTTAGGGTTTAGGGTTTAGGGTTTAGGGTTTAGGGTTTAGGGTTTAGGGTTTAGGGTTTAGGGTTCAGTGTAGAGGAGAGAGCCTCACCCAGCTGGGAATCATCTTTGTGCTCGACAACTACACCCTCATCGAGGGGCGCGAGGCGCAGTTCGTGGCTGAGTGTACCTTTTGGGGTACTTGGAAATTTTTGTTTAAGTTTTTGGGTACTATAATTCCTAAGAATCAGGAAGAAATAGTTTTTGCCCTCAACCCTAAACCCTAAACCCTAAACCCTAAACCCTAAACCCTAAACCCTAAACCTTAAACCCTAAACCCTAAACCCTAAACCCTAAACCCTAAACCCCAAACCCTAAACCCTAAACCCTACACCCTAAGTTCCAAATTCAGTATAGGTACAGCCAAGATGCACCTGAAGTTTGGCGTCTTCTGCCAGCGGGCCGTGAAAGATGAAGATGACAACGTCGAGCTGGACTTGCTCGGAACCCACAAAGGCCTAAACCCTAAACCCCCAAACCCCTAAACCCTAAACCCTAAACCCTAAACCCTAAACCCTAAACCCTAAACCCTAAACCCTAAACCCTAAACCCTAAACCCTAAACCCCAAACCCCTAAACCCTAAACCCTAAACCCTAACCCTAAACCCTAAACCCCTAAACCCCTAAACCTTAAACCCTAAACCCTAAACCCTCAAAGGCCTTCTGCTCGCGGAGGCGAACGCCCGGAAAGAGGGCATAACCCTGCATGGGTTTGAGACGCTGGGCTTCATCGGCAAGAAGCCCTTCCCTTTGTATCACCGCCGCCTCTCCGAGAGTGAGGAGGCGTCGCAAGGGGAGCCTCAGACGGAGCCTCAGGATAAGTGGGAGCCAGCGAGCCATCCCAAAATGGAGACTCTACGAAGGGCCATAAGGGAGCTTGCCGAACTTCGCGGGAACTTCGCCACGGTGAACGGCAACGCAGCTCAGAACCTGACGACTGCCAGCGTAAAGGAGAAGCTGAACCTCATGGAGCCCGTGCTGAAGAAGTCCGGTTCAGAGTCGCCCACGTGTCAATGACAAACTGCCACTTGCTAGATTTAAATGCTGCAAAGGTGCAGCTGTTCAAACACTCCTCAGTCCAACTTTTCATTTGGTTCATATTCTTCTTCAGGCACAGTAGAGTTGACATGGAGTTGACTGCAGCCTTCACCAGGAGTGTTGGCTTGCGTAACACGTTAGATGAGCGCATGCGCAGAGCGCGTGCGTCCCACCCAAGTGAGCTTTTAGAATCATGCGCCGTGCTTGCGCTGTTTGGTGCGGCGTGTGCTCGGATCCTTGTGTGTGGAGTTGCAATGTCCATGCAACTGTTTTTGTCTAGTCTTGGGACCATTGTGGACCTGCATTTTTGCCTTTAAGTACGAATGACGAGAAGATCTACCGGAGGTGTCGACCCAGTCGCTCCAGGCTCTCGTCGTTAGCTTCAAAACCTCCCCGGATCGGTCGGTACCATGCTCTTGGATTGGTACACTACTATTTCGCTTAAGAACCCCCCCAAGAAAGGGGAAAATAATAATCCCTACGTTACCTTATAAGGAAGAATATTCACTATTTTTGGGGGGTTCTTAAGGAATGCGTAGTACAGTGTTGTATATCCATGTCGTTGTGTGCGCCGACGTGCTGTGCCGTGCGGCGCACCTCTCTTGCGCGCGAGACGCAGAAAGCAGCGGCTTTGGATCTGTGCTTTCGCCATGAGGGTTTAGGGTTTTAGGGTTTTAGGGTTTTAGGGTTTTAGGGTTTTAGGGTTTTAGGGTTCAGGGTTGCTTTCACCAGTTTGTGATATTCTGCGAGAGACACACGTATTGAAGGAGGAGTAGCTTCAACCGCGATCTGCCAAGCTAGTGGTGATTACATGTGATGGCAGGTTCCAACATGCTGACAGCTGGGTCCAACAAGGTGCGGGTCGTGGACAGGGTGTCAGCGGCGTACTGGTGTTTATGAAGCCGGTAAGTTCATCGAGTGTCAGCACTTCCATGGGCTCGTGATAACTTCGAGAGTGGGCGACATGTTGGGATGCCGCATGTGCAAGCGTGCACCAGTTGGGCATTGGCACTAGGGTTTAGGGTTTAGGGTTTAGAGTTATCGAACTGGCTATACAGATGTGCACTCTCTTCGCTGAGAGAGCCTTAAAATACAACAGATGGAAAAGGCGGCCTGCGAGCATTCGCGCACGAGCTGTTGTTGAACAAGCCCGCGTCCATCTTCTGGCGGGAAGGATTGGGGTTTAGGGTTTAGGGTTTAGGGTTTAGGGTTTAGGGTTTAGGGTTTAGGGTTTAGGGTTTAGGGTTTGAAGGGTTTAGAGGGTTTAGGGTTTAGGGTTTAGGGTTTGAAGGGTTTAAAGGGTTTAGGGTTTAGGGTTGTCTTAGAAGGGTTTAGGGGGTGTAGGTTTTGCTGCGTGGTGGTTTGATACGCAAGAGCCTAGGTGCGCCAAGGGTTTAGGAATCAGGGCAGAAGACTGCGATGGATTAGAAAGGCCATAGACCTCTATAGGAGAGGAAAATGGTAATTTAGAACACATATTAGCCCTTGAATACTGCAAAACCGCAAAAATGCCCAAAACCGCATCCTCTTCAGGGCTGATATCATGTCGCGTGCTCAGGAGGGGAGATCTCCACGGTCACCGATTTTTTAAAGGTTGCCCCCCCTGCTCCGTCAGTGTCGCTTGCTCCCAAAAGAGTCTTCTTTGTGTAGCCGAGCTCTGTTCAGGGACCCATGAGCTAGTGCACAATGTTGCAGACCAGGCCCCCGAAAGATTTTGATTTCTTTTACCCTAAACCCTAAACCTTAAAACCCTAAACCCTAAACCTTAAAACCCTAAACCCTAAACCCTAAACCCTAAACCCTAAACCCTAAACCCTAAACCCTAAACCCTAAACCCTAAACCCTAAACCTTAAACCTAAACCCTAAACCCTAAACCCTAAACCCTAAACCCTAAACCCTAAACCCTAAACCCTAAACCCTAAACCCTAAACCCTAAACCCTAAACCCTAAACCCTGTGTGTGTGTGTGTGTTACCTGCAGAACTTGTCGAAACGTAGAGGGGCATTAGGCTTCTATTGGATCCCTAAAGCTATGCTTGGAACACACTCCTAGACCCCAAACCCTAAACCCTAAACCCTAAACCCTAAACCCTAAACCCATTAAACCCTAAACCCTAAACCCCAACTCTTCCCACGGTAGCGTAACGGCACACAAGAGCTTTCGGGACATTCGGGTTTGCGGGTACGCCCAGAAGCCGACAGTTTCGAAGTAACCTCCCGAATTCAGAGTCCGAGGCTATACCTGAAGCTCCCCCACGCGTCCGTGCCGGCAGAATTCCGGAAACTGATACGGTGAGTTCTCTAAATTCTGGTCCCTTGTGGAGACCTTATGATACGGCGGCCCCGTTTGTTTAAAAAGGGACTCTAATTTAGAGAACTCACCATACATACTGATATCGCAGGAAATGATGCGAAATCTGAGCCGGCGCCGAAAACTCTAAACCCTAAACCCTAAACCCCAAACCCCAAACCCCAAACCCCAAACCCCAAACCCTAAACCCTAAACCCTAAACCGCGGCACGTCCATTCCCTCCACCCCTTCAAAATGCAAGGCCGTGCAGGCCTGGGCAACCTGGGCAGTGACCCGAAACGGGCGTTTAGGGTTTAGGGGTTTAGGGGTTTAGGGTTTTAGGGTTTAGGGTTTAGGGTTTAGGGTGTAGGGGTTAGGGTTTAGGGGTTTAGAGGTTTAGGGGTTTAGGGATCCATGGCAGCAGAAGCAGATACAACCCTTTCGGGTTCAGAGCCTAGGAGGGCACCTTCTACTGAGGCGAGGGGCCCAGGCCTAGCTTTTCGATTACATGACTTACTGTTTAGGGTTTAGGGTTTAGGGTTTAGGGTTTAGGGTTTAGGGTTTAGGGTTTTTGGTTAGCAGGGAATGAGGGGTTTAGGGCCCTCTATATGCCCTTTAAGGGATTATATAGGGTGCATCTATACCACTAAGGGATTATGTAGGGTACCTCCTTCCCCCCATTCCCTGCAAACCTGGCGTCGGAATTCGAAGGGCGGCTGTTGGCATGTGGAGAGCTTTCAGTCAAGTTGATTGAGCTCGGCTCTAGCGGACGTGGGGGCAAAAGCTTCGCACCCAACAAGGAACGCTGAAGATCGCCTCCAGCTATATACTCCCTTAAAGGGCATATGCAGGGGGTTGTAAGGTGCCTAACTCCCTCAGTCCCAACTCACATCCCTAAACCCTAAACCCTATCCCTAAACCCTAAACCCCAAACCCCAAAATGCCCCAGCGGAGATCTCCGGCGTCCTGGGGCCAAAGAGAGCCCACTTTTGGAAGCTTGCAGCCAGAAGGGAATTTCCAAATTGCAGGGCAGAGCATGCCTCACGTCCAGGCACTGGAACTGGCTATGCGATGTTGAAATGTTTGAAAGGTCAAGACAAAAAATCGGGAGTTTTTCTTTGCTGTGGCTCGGAATAGCACTTGGGATGCTCCCCCTTATACTAACAGTCCTTAGTAGGGATCATAGTACCCCCTATTAGAATCCCTAAACCCTAAACCCTAAACCCTAAACCCTAAACCCTAAACCCTAAACCCTAAACCCTAAACCCTAAACCCTAAACCCTAAACCCTAAACCCTAAACCCTAAACCCTAAACGGACTGTTAGAATAAGGGGGAGGATCCCAAAATAGCACGCCTTCACGACCGGCTTGGATGTCATGTCTCTCGCGCACGCGAGACTTTGATTTCTTGTCCAAAGGGTTTAGGGTTTAGGGTTTAGGGTTTAGGGTTTAGGGTTTAGGGTTTAGGGTTTAGGGTTTAGGGATCAAATCATGGTGCCGGCTTGCCTTCGGCTTATCGAGGCTGTGCCGACTTATGATGGACACTGAGACGGGTTGTCATCGCTATTTTTCTGGTCTTAGCCTTCTTTTTCTGTTCAGGGTTTAGGGTTTAGGGTCGGATGTTTCTAGCCTTCCTCTGGCAACCTAGAGCTTGCGAGGATCAGCCCTTAGAAGCATGGCGGCCCGTTCCACGCCGCTGCTCTCCGCTGGTGTACTGGGCGTCTTAGCCTGGCTGCTTACCTCATCTTTCTTGTCGCAGACTTTCGTCACCCCTGGGCCACATGCAATCCGTCGGGGAAGACGAACCGCCTGTCGCGCAGTTGAAACGGCGGTGTTGCTGTTCCAGCCTGGACAGCGGGTGACCCTGACAGGGCCACCCGCCATGGCTGGTGCGCAGGGCACCATCCTTGAGCCAAAAGGCGACGATGCGTTCGCCGTCCAGTTTGACAATGGCAGCATCTTCCACATTGCCACGCACAACATTGAGGGCTCTGGAGCACCCCCTGCGGGAAACGTGAACTACGACGCCGTGCGCGCCGACCTCAAACGTGTCATGGATGACCCGAACTGGGATGATGGAAGCTACGGCCCGTTGCTCATCCGGCTGGCGTGGCACTCGTCGGGCACCTACTCAAAGCACACCAACACCGGAGGGTCCGAGGGTGCAGCCATGCGCTTCGTGTATGGCTCGGAGGCCAAGGATCCCGAGAACGCGGGCCTGGCGCATGCGATCAAGTACCTCCAGCCGATCAAGGACAAGTACCCGCTGATGTCGCACTCGGACCTGTGGATTCTTGCGGCCTACGTCGCCATCGAGCACATGGGTGGCCCATCCATCGAGTTCAAGCCCGGTCGTGTGGACACTCCCGACGAGAAGGGCTGCCCGGAGTGGGATGGCCCGATGATTGATGGCCAAGCCTCAAGCCGCCTGCCGCATGCTGAGTATGGCCTGGTTGAAGGCTTCGACCGAAACAAGGTTCTTGACAGCGAGGGCAGGATCTTGGGTTGGGAGAACCTTGCGCAGCACATGCGCGACGTGTTCTACCGCATGGGCTTCAACGACCGCGAGATCGTCGCGCTGATGACTGGCGGTCACCTCTGGGGCCGGTGCCACCCAGAGCATTCGGGCTACGCAGGGCCGTGGGTGGAGGAGATGACGAAGTGGTCGAACGAGTATGCCGCCGACATGATCGAAGACCCCTGGCGCATGGTATCCAATAGTGACACCTGGCTCGACAGCATTGGCGCCGAAGAGCTCCGACCGGCGCCAGGCAAGCGCCAGTATGTGAACAAGTTCCCTGCAGCAGAGGGTGGGTTTCCCGGGGTGGATTTAGAATAAGCTTTTAAAATTTCTATGGGTCCTATAATCCCTATATACCCCTTTTATAGCCCATAGAGATTTAGAAATTTTTAAGCACCCAACTCCCCCACTCCCCCAGGTCAGGTCTCGATGACCCGAACCAAATGATGCTAGTCGCCGACATGGTCTTGCTCCTCGGTAGGCCCTTGGGACATTTTTTTTGAATTTCCCTTACTTGGGTTTAAGAGGATCATATTCAGGAGCCCTAAACCCTAAACCCTAAACCCTAAACCCTAAACCCTAAACCCTAAACCCTAAACCCGAAACCCTAAACCCTAAACCCTGGCTGTTTTTCAGAGGGTTTTAGGGGCCATCCTAGGCTCTGGGACCCAGCCTTCCGGCAAACGCTCGAGGAGTACGCCGTGGACGACACAGGCGTAAGAGGGAGTTAGGAAGCATTGAAACCCAAGCGCTTATAACTATTTTAGTAGTGGTGTCTGGTTGTAAGAAGCATGTATAACCTATTCTAGGTAGGGGGTTTCTGGTTGCAAGAACATTAAGTGCTTCATGTTATAGATGCTTCCCCAATTTAACACATTTAAAGTGACAGGCAGCGACGACAACCACGCCCTGCGCAGAGACTTCGCGGCGGCTTACAAGAAGCTCACCGAGCTCGGGACGCAGAGACTGACGGCGTGCCCCTTTGCCCACTAGCCGATGACGTCCATGGAGCTAGGGAAGGCTGAAGGGGTCTTAAAGTACCTCCGAGTATAGGGAGCTTACAGCCTGTGACGTCCAGGGACCTAGGGAAGGCTTAAGGGGCCCTAAAGTACCTCCTATTGTACGGAGTTTGGGGCCAAAGTATACTTATCATGATACGAATTCCACCCTTGGGAATTATTGATTATATTTTGTTCATATAAGAACCCAAGAGGATATTAAACATATTATCTTTATTAAGGTTCTAAGGGGAGTATAGGATAACGTACATGGACCCTGAGGGTTAGCCTGTGATGTCCATCGATGTCGAGAAGTTGAGAGAAGAAGCGGAAGAGGATTCTCCGCTCGGAGTGCGGGCACCAGCGCGAAGAGGGAAAATGGTGCCGGCTCGCCTGTGTCTGCCATGGCTTAGGGGATTAGCGTTTAGGGTTTAGGGGTTTAGGGTTTAGGGGTTTAGGGTTTAGGGTTTAGGGTTTAGGGTTTAGGGTTTAGGGTTTAGGGTTTAGGGATAGTGTTGCTGAAGCTCAGGCAGTATGGCCCCATGATTTCTGCTGATGGTCCATTTGCGGTTCTGGCAGCAGCAGGAGACAATCATGACGACATATTGTGAGCTGGATGATGATTCTTAGAGCATATTTTGGCAGACAGTCCTGGCCGGACCACGTCAATGTAGTTCTAGTGCGTAGATGAACTGCTGAGAACTGCTGACATAGCGTTTGCTCCAGTATCCCAAACACTTCTCCCTAAAGCTTAAGCTTGACGTGCTGAGCCCTACGTCTTAAACTCTCAATCAGAAACCCTAAGCCCATGGCAAGGGTCATCCAGTGCAGGTGCCTGCTTGGAGTTGCGCTGCACGATGGATGCTGTAGCCGTGTTGCTCATGAATGGTATGACCGGGCAGACACCGTGTTTTTCTGATGTATGTCCGTTTGAAGGCTAGTTTCACCTTCATTCCAGGCGAACCCCCCAAAATCCAACAAGCCACCGCGCGGCGCCGTGCGCAAGATGGCGGTGTGTGGCCGGCATCGCAAGGATCGGGTCTTGCATCCGAAAGGCGAACATCAACCGTACACCCTCAAACCCTAAACCTTACACCCTAAACCCTAAAACCCTAAAACCCTCAAACCCTAAAACCTTCAAACCCTAAACCTTCTACCCTAAACCTTATACCCTAACACCCTCAAACCCTAAACCCCTCAAACCCAAGCCCTAAGCCCACGAAGCATCACACCAAATTCTAAAAATCCAAGCTCCTAAACTTGGGGGTTTACGAAAGTAGGGGACCCTAAAATAGAAGGTTTCCGTCATCACAAGGACCCTAAGAAGGTACGCCCAGTTTCGGAAACCACAAAAATCTGAAAAACCTAAATCCCAAAGCCTCAGTCCTACATCCTAGATGGTGAGCTCTCAACATCATGGTCCCTGTTTGGGGTTACTAGTGCAAGGCGGCCCCACTATTTCGGGCACCCAAAAAGGGAGCGTAAGTTTGAGAATCCAAAACATACGTTATCATACGTTTGTTCCAGGGCTCGAAGGTCAAAATCCCTCCCTAAACCAGAAAAGTTTAGAGGTTTTAGGGGTTCAGGGTTCCAGGGTTTAGGGCTTTCGGGTTTAGGGTTTAGGGATTTAGGGTTTCGGGGTTAGGGTTAGACCCTGAGCCTCTAAGCCCCTAACCCCTATAGACCCCCGAAAGCGATCCCTAAGCCCAAACCCTAAACCCTAAACCCTAAACCCTAAACCCTAAACCCTAAACCCTAAACCCTAAACCCTAAACCCTAAACCCTAAACCCTGATAAGCCCCCACACGCGCAGGAGCGAGTGCACAACACCGGTACGTCTAACCGGGCAGCTTCCTGGGTGGGAAGCCCCGGGGAGAGATTGCCGGGTTAGGGTTTAGGGTTTAGGGTTTAGGGTTTAGGGTTTAGGGTTTAGGGTTTAGGGTTTAGGGTTTAGGGGTTTAGGGTTTAGGGTTTAGGGACGAAAGGAGGGACCCTTATAAGGGACCTTAGGGGTTCTTTAGGGGTTAGTGGGGGCTACTTCGGAATATGGGGACAACATAAGGTAACATTAGGGCGTATATGGGGGGATAAGATTAAGGGTCCCTTCGAGGGGTCCCTCCTCATACTCCTTAGCTGGGATCCTCTTCTGCCAGGACGATGTCAGGGTCGGGGATTTGAGGTTCTGGGGTTTAGGGTTTGGGGTTTACGGGTTTAGGGGGTTTAGGGGGTTTAGGGGGTTTAGGGTTTAGGGTTTAGGGTTTAGGGTCTAGGGGGCTTAGGGGTCTTCTGGGGTTAAAACAATCAAACCAAGGAGGCCCTAAACCCAAAACCACTGAACCCGGAGTCCCTCGAAACCCTTGAGCCTTTCAAGCCCTGCGTCCCAAGACTTGTGGGGGTTTAGGGTTTAGGGTTTAGGCTTAGGGCTTGGGGTTTAGGGAGTTTAGAGTTGAGGGCTTCGGTCCTTCAAAATAAAATGGGTAAGCGTCCCTTAAGAGTCTACCTGTTCGAATACACGTCTGTTGAACAACGAACATATGTCAAGACGGACCCGATGTATGGGGGGTTTCGCGAAATTTGCGGTACCTATTTTGGGGTTCCTTTTCAAGGTGATTGTGCTGCATTTTGGGTATATGAGAGGCCACCCTTGTGTTGGGAACGACGCTTGCAAAAAGCACCATAAGATCTCACTTGAACTGACGGGGTATCTCATTCCTGTCACACTCCAGCTTTTGTGATGAGAATGCCCAGAAACAGAAGAGGTTCTTGCCCCAAACCCTGAAACCCAAAACCCTCCAACCCTAAAAGCCCCAGGGTTGCGCTACGGAGCTCCCGCAACCCCAAGCCCTACGCCCTAAACCCGAAACCCATAAACCTTGAGGCCCCGCACGATGGGCCCATCGATTTCGATGCCAACATGCGCTCGACGGCGCCGCTTGGCCAAGCGGAAGCCGAGGTTTGATTTTGAGGGGTTTGAAGGGTTTAGGCTTTCGGGTTTAGGGTTTATTTATTTGTATATATATAGAAATATAAATAAATAAATAAATAAATAAATAAATAAGTATATAAATATATAAATATATAAATATATATGCCTATTTTTTTTTGAATGTGGTTTGTTTGTGTTTACTTTTTAAGGGGCTTTAAGGAGTGTTAAGGGTTTAAGGGGTCTAGGGGATTAAGAGGTTTTAAGGGCTACGGGTTTAGGCTTTGAAGGGGTGTAGGGTTTTTGAGGTTGAGGGGTTGGGGGCTTCGGGTTTCAGAGTTTGTTGAGGGGGTGTAGTGGAGTTGGACCCGACAAGGGACCTTCCCTAAACCCTGCCCCCAAAACCCGAAACGCTAGACCCTAAACCCAAAACCCTAAACCTATGAATCCTAAACTTCAAGGCCTAAACCCTAAGACCCTAAGACCCTAAAACCCTAAAACCCTAAACCCTAAAACCCTAAAACCCTAAAAACCCTAAAACCCTAAAACCCTAAAATCCTAAAACCCTAAAACCCTAAAACCCTAAAACCCTAAAACCCTACAACCCTAAAACCCTAAAACCCTAAAACCCTAAAACCCTAAAACCCTAAAACCCTAAAACCCTAAAACTCTAAAACCCTAAAACCCTAAAACCCTAAAACCCTAAAACCCTAAAACCCTAAAACCCTAAACCCCAGACCCCTAAACCCTAAACCTTAAACCCCAGACCCCTAAATCCTAGACCTCCAAATCC